CCGACCCATTCGTGCTACAACTATACATACAACTATAGATGGTAGAGCCATGCTGCAGCTATATTAGTAATATAGTTGTAGCGTAGTACTTCCCCAGTGGAGACACTGCAGCTACATATACTATATCTTGGTTGTTGCACGAATGAGTCAGTTCGACCGAGATAGGACCACGCCACAGACCATGCTCTCAGAGAATACCAGCGTAAAACAGCAGCTTAATGCTGGTGTGTTTCGTGTAGTATGGAGACCCAGAGAACGTTTTTACTAGATATGACACATTCCATCTTAGTCCTCAGGAGTGACAACGCATCTGCATGATGTTTCTTAATCGAGGATAAATGTAGATGTGGACTGGTGTACTTTTATCACCCTTATTATATAAAAAGACAATTCTAAATACACGTATCTTTTTATGTATGTATACATACAAAGATACGTTCATATTCATAAATTCATGCGCCGTCACCTAGTCACCTAGAGATATAGGTAGAGACTGCGGACTTTCATTTGGCATGATCCTGAACACAAATCGTTTGTTTCACATTCACATATTTACGTATACATGCTCGTCGGTTAAGGGGAGATACTGTTCACTTGACCCAACTTCAATATATTGCCAATTTGGTCGATGAACTTACGTGTCTCTTACCAACTCTACCACTTACTTCTGAAGCATAGACTTACTTCGTCAGTTTGTTCCCCGTTCAGCATTTTTTTCTTATCCTGGTTACAACATCTTACAAACCATACTTCTCTCAATCAATCTCTAACTATTCAACTTTTCACAGTCAATTCTATTAGGTACTATATTTGCCGGAAACGGACCTGTGTAATCGCCAGGCTTGTCAGGCGGAATGACAATAACAGCACCAAACGTATTATTTCTTTCTTTCTTTCTTTCTTTCTTTTGTAAAATGTTACTTAAACACTAGGATTTTCTCCTGTATTGTGGAGGTGTTTTGCGTATATGAAAAAACATCCAGATGCGGAAAAAATATTTGTAGACCATACAAACACTTGTTCCGTGCGCGATTTAAACCCGTGACTCTCAGCCCTAGCCGTCTAAAAAGGTAAAACTTAATACAGCCTATAATTGTACAAATCTTAACTTTAAGCCTTATAATAGAACCGAGGTCGCAATTTATTTATGAAATTTATTTTTAATTATTATAATTTATCTATGAATGTTAATATTTATATTTAAGCTTATTTGTTTATTTTAGGTTCAAAATATTAAAAAGTTTAAACTAGTGATGCAACGAATACTACTTTTACGAATACGAATACGAATACGAATTTCAAACCTACTCGTACTATTCGGCGAATACGAATACAAATACGAATATCTCGCCATGGTAATAAAAAACCGCCCAAGTGCGAGTCGTACTCGCGCAGCGAGGGTTCCGAACAAATCCGTAGGTATATAAGTTTAAAATTATTAAAAATATTTTTATTATATGATGTAACTAACTACCAAATTTTAAGATTCTGAGTTCACGGGAAGTACCCTGTAGGTTTTGATACCCTTTCGAATGTCGAAAATTTGCGGCATAAACTGTTGCGGCATAAGCTGTATCTTTCCATTACTTTGTGTTAGAAGTTTGATCTTTTCACATCTCCAAGGGACAGCAGACTTGAGCATTTGATATGAATTACAGCTTGATACCTCCACGTTTTTCTGAGAAAAAGGGTCTTGACAGACAGACAGACAGACGGACAACAAAGTGATCCTATAAGGGTTCCATTTTTATTTTTGAGGCACGGAACCCTAAACACTAATTTATTTGATGATTTTCTATTGTTCTAATAATTAAAATGTACCATAGGCAAAATTTTATTTAAAAAACATAAAATTTGTAGATTTTCTGGTTTTAGGCGATTTATTTTTTCAGTCTGGATGTTCCCAGCCGTTGAAAAAAGTCTTTCCGAGGCGACTGTACATAGTTTCAGTGAAAATAATTTTTGGGCGTCCCCCGTCGTTGAGGCTAAGGGCCAAATTAGAGTTGCATACAGAAATATTAGTTTTTAAATATTCGTGATCAGTATTCGCCGAATACTGTCAATGTAAATGTCTACTAATCGGCGAATACGAATATTCGTATTCGTATTCGTTGCATCACTACTTTAAACCCTAATTATAATTTTAAGTTAATCACATTATAGAATTTAAAATTTTATAAAAGGTATTTTGTCTACCTTAATAGAAGAAATTAGTTCTTGAAATCTCTTATAATTATACGTACATAGTGATTTTGTTTTATGAGTATAATATATCATAATTATTATACAATCACAATTTTAATAGCTTTGTAATGACCGAAAACATCTTGGTTTTCGCGGCGCCCAGTAGTTGTACGCCCGCTTACTACATAAATACAAAAATTAATTAATTCTCTAGTTTTTGTTAGCGCGCGTTTTATCTGAAAGCGCCGAGGGCCCACAATCAAACGTCTTCTTACAAATAACTTTTACCGGCAATACTTTCGTTCCGTCGAAGCTTATAATAATCTCATGAATAATTTGGCATCGGGAGAGCGCATAAAATGTTTACTCCAACGGCAAGTGGGGCGCTGATATCTGGAAGGCGCTCTAGTACAGTTTTATGGCTTCATAACACCAACCGTTCACTTTTGGCAGTAAAAAAGAATTGCTTCCAAATCCTAGGCTTTGGAATTACCTTGCTACTCATGCGCTTCGGATGTATTTTCTGCGCAGTATACATTACTACTCCGAAATAAAATGGGGTCGAATGGAAGTAGCAAGCCTCAATGTATGTAGTACATTTCACAATGTTGATATTTTGCGACAGTTTGTAAGTGAAAGTAGTGGAGATAAAAGACTTATGATAAGAGATATAGGTAATAAAGTTGCGTCATGAGTCATAAAGCGCCGCCATTGTTCCGCGGCGCGTGTACAGTTTGAGTAGATTAACTTCTGTCAAACATTTCTTCTCATTACTTATTTCAGTAACGTAAGTGCGGGGCTTAGGACGAGAGCAGCTGCAGGCTGCAGCATCGGGGATCGCGGTAAACTGGCGGCTCCTGTGTCTAATTCAGAAATATGACGAAGTATAATATAATATTTATACTACGTGGGAAGGCAGACGTTGTTCTGAATATTAGCGTTAACGAACATCGCCGTGTCGCGATTTTTATATATTAACATTAGTAAGGTGCTCTATATGACGAGATAATTTAATCACTGACTTATTTTTAATCATTGATATGATGTAGAGTAAGAGAATACACTACGCCATAACAATATCATTGTATCGACCGCTCCGTGGCGCAGTGGTTTAGCAATGAGTTGCAGCGCTGAGGGCTGCGGGTTTGTATCCTCCACAGAACAAGTATTTCTATCGCCTATACAAATAATAATTGTCCCGGGCCCGGTCGCCAATCCGCTTGCCAAACGTGACAACTATGTCACATATCCTCTCCATATGGCAATCTATGGGGAAGCCTATGTTCAGCAGTACGCTTATGAAGGCCTGCAGTAACGTTTGCATATGGTGGAGGGGTAAGATAATCCATCACACCACTTAGTCTCGTGGATGTAGTAAGAAGTGCCTATGGGAAAGGCCATAAAGACCTCGTGGCCTCCGAAAGCTGGCCTGGCATTCCACCTTTTCTCTCAGGGGTGACAACGCATCTGCATTTTGATTCTTCATTGAGGATTAGTGTGGATGTGTATGGGCCACAGCATCCACTTACCGCCAGATGAACTGTTTGCTCGTTTGTCACCCTTATCCTAAAAAAAAAGCTGGAAGTATATAATGATATACCCGTATATTATGCCAAATATTAAAATGCCTAAACCACCCATTAAATAATGTTATTGTTACCCTAAACTGGCAAACCTAGCTGTGTAGAAGCTCGTGTCTAGTAGGTAGTTAGGTAGTACCTGGTAGTGAATGGCACCAATGGAAGATCTCCTCGACCCCAACGCACGTTGGTGGAGTTGACATGCCTTCGAAATATTTTTTAAATACGCGGACATGCATGATTCCTTGCGATATTTTCCTTCACCACAGAGCATGTGGTGAATCTGCGCTTGCAATTAACAATTTCATTAGTGTCGGCGGAATTGAACCCGAGTTACTCGTAGCGAGCGCTTAACCCCGAGCTAACACGAATGAATTGCCAGTGATAATAATAATTTATGACTGATGATAAATAATTTATGATGAATATCACCCCTATGGGGGAGGCCTATGTTCAGCAGTGGACTTTAATAGGCTGCAACGGTAACGGTAATAATTTATAACAGTAAACATTACATTATTATTCATGGACATAAAATAATCATGATGTTACTATTACATATTTATTTCAATAAATAGCAATAAGTATTTACAGAGGTTGTTTAAAAATTACTGTAATAAATAGATAATTAACTTATATTGATGCCCAAGGGAAACGATTTTAATAATAGTTATTAAGTATTTGAATGTATAATGCATAGAAACTTGTTTTTACAGATCGCTTCTAGCGCGGTTGGGACGCCAAAAGAAAGACCGAAAATAAACTGCGATAGAAAAAATGCGAACCGCTTCACCCGTCCGTGCCCAATCGATATCAGAGTCCGACGATGTGGAATTTATAAAAGTAGCCAACCGTCATCGAATAGAGCGTCTGCGCTCTTGCTTTTACACGTGCTTCCATGTCTGCACTACTCAGCCGCGGGCCTGTTCCACAGGTAAGAGCGAGACGACAATTTTTGCGGGCTTGCTTCCCGCTGCGCGTGTCTGTTTGCCGTTATGCGCGCTGTCGTGTTTGCTTCGCGCTCTCGTTGCGATGTGACGCGTTCTTTTATTTATTTACTTCAAGTGAACAGATTTTTCAGAGCTTTATCTGTTATCAATATAGTATATGTTAACATTAATAAAACAGTGAATGTTTTAGTTTCGAATACTCATTTGTAATCCTAAAGACCAGCAAAGTTGTGAAACGTTTTAGTGTTGTGGGCCTTGATGCGTTTGCGTCCGGCAAAGATTAAACATGTCGCAGAAAAGTCAAACGGTTGATACAACGGTTAAAATAGAGGAAGTCGGTCGACTTGTTGATTCAAATCAAGCCGATGATCGAAAAATGATTCGACTCGTAAAAGAGAGAAGATTGCTGTATGCTCGAAACAACATGCCCGTAGCTAGTTATTACATGCAAGTAAAAAGACTTTGGGAGGAAGTAGCAAGAGAAATGGGATGGAGTGGTATTAATTTTAATATTAAGGCTATTTTGCATGATTAATATATTAATTAGATAACAATATTTGAACTATATGTGCTATACAAATGAACATAAATAGAAAAAATACTGATGATTTATAACTGGCATTAAAAAAAACTGTTCAATAAGAAAATGCCAGTTTATGTATGCCTAAAATACATAGTTGAAAACTGACAATAAAAGCATTATTCTCAGTTTTTTTATTGTGTATATATTCTCCATGTATTGGTGGTGTAAGAATATCCACTACTCGATATTCTTTCGTGTGTATCGTAAATTTAGTTAAATTCCTAATAATAACTAAAAATAAAATAACTGCGGTTGCCAACATATCCGTCAAGCATGGCAATGATGACAAATATTCTCCCTATAAGGCAATCGATGGGGGAGGCCTATGTTCAGCAGTGGACTTTTGGTAGGTTGTAACGCTGTATTTTAAATGTTTATTTTTTTCCTTAGTTGCTCATGTCCGTCGCAAGTGGTCTCATATTCGGAATTCATATTCACGACATTTAAGAAATGAAATGCACGGGGCACGTACTGGAAAAGGGAGAATGGTATCGCGGTGGTATCTTGCGGATGAATTAGAATTTCTTCGAGAACATATGGCAACTGATACGTAAGCATACTGTTGAATTTTCATATGTATATGAGTGTTAATTTATGTTGATAAATATAATCGAAATCGTTTGTTTATAGAAGGCCGTCCCCTTACCCAGCGTACGCACCAACATTTTTGGAAATGGATTTAACTGAAACGGCAAGCACGGAACAAGTTGACGTCAAACCTTTTATTCAAAGTCCATGGTTTTCGCTAAATTCAACGCCTAAGACATCAAAATTATTAGAACCGAAGGCTGAACCTTCTTTTCTCAACGATGATAGTTCCAATTCTCAAGCTTTTGGTGCTGATGAGAATACTTCATATTTCCAATTTTTTCGTGGAATACACAATGATTATCTAGAGTTATCCACCAAAAATCAAAGATTATTTAAACGACAATGTTTAAATTTCTTACATGGTTTACTAGATGAAGAAGAAAGTCAACATATGTCCTTTTACAATCAAAGCGATCCAATTAATTTATCAAATTCGCTTCAAGGTAGTGAAGATGGAAAAGAAACAAAAATGCTTGAAGTGGACTGTATATTACCCACAGATTAACTGTGATAAAGTAATTAAATTGGTAGTTTATTAAAATAAAAATGTTTAAATTAATTGTTTCTTTGGTTAGATTTACCGCTTTAATACAATGTTTGTTTATAGATGAAGAGTATTAATTTACTTACATATTATACTTAAGGAATAAAATAAACGTATATTTAAAAAAAATATTTGTTGACGTTAGCAATGCCCACGTACTTACTGGTTTTTTAGTTCTTACCCATTTGGACGTCTGTTTATTTTGATCCATGATAAAAGACATATTTAAATGCGTTTTGTTGTTGCTTCGGTTGTTATGGTAATATTATATTTTAGAAATTGTGTTAAAATTAAATTTTTGTGATAGTCATAAATTAATAACATACAAAATGTTTCCAAAATTAAAAGCTAATACCTATATAAAATGGTAAAAGCGAAACGTCTCTTGATGTCAAAAGAAAAGTTAACACGAATGACGTTGACTTGACATTTTGACAATTTGACGTCCACACACTACATTACAATTACATGATTACACAAACACAATTTTCTCAATGCAATCACTACATATAGTTTTACTTTTCTTTTTCTTTTTTTATTATTAGTAAAGCAGCGATTTGTGCTCGTTGTTAAAGGATCGTAAACTGATCCAGTGTGATATGGAAAGTGGTGTTACTGCCAGTGATTTCAAATTCAAATTTATTTATTGCCAGAATGTAGTACATAATATTACGATGTTGTTATTTATTAATGAGACCTTACATTCTACCATGATAATAGTGTGCAATATCTTTTGCTTTGATTTAAAATTGCTTATAAATACAGAGAATTTAACGAATTGTTGAAATGACTGTGTTTGATATAACTGTGCTCTATTTGATATAGCTGTGTTTGTGTTTGAAATGACTGTGCTCCTTCCTTTCCATGTGAAATACGAGAGGTTTATGACATTAATATTGTTGATGTACTAATATGTTTATTATGGAGTTTTCCTCAACAGATCTGGTTATCTATCTAATGCCTAAAATATACATGTATGCACCCAGGTGTTTTCTCACCTTCTTAATTGTTTCTGATCTGATAAGAATTGATTATCCTAGGCAAACCAAAAGTAAGGATGTCATTATCATTAATTAGAAGTGCTCAAAATAAATTTATGACAACACTTTCAATAATAGTTTTATTGATCCTTTTTTAGATATGACAGACAAATATTTTAAAAATAGTTTTTTTGTTATATATACAGTATATACTTTCATATGGATTTAGTAAAAAGCTGTTATTTTGATATTACAAGCAGACACTTTAATATTATTTATTTGTATAGATGATGGTGATGTTGCACTTCAAGATAATTATATTATATAAAGCTTCTTGTGGTTATTAAATTAATTTAAAATCTTATCTGTATTAATATTATTGAAATACTATGAGTATTTCAATAATAATAATATAGATAAGTATTTCAAAAATAAGTTTGATCTTTCTAAATTTTTCCATTGATATATTAAAAGTCATTACAATGTAGTGGATCGGCACATACATAGTTCTCCTTACTGTTACCATTACTAAAGCTAACCAAATGTCCACTGCCGAATATGAGCCTTGCCATAAAATTGCCTCATAGAGGGGATATTTGCTATAGTTGTCACGCTTGGCATATTGGCAACTGTAGTTTTTTTAATTGTAGTTGCATCAACAAGCTGCTGCCCATGCCCTGTTTCAGTTTCCATCTACCGCCTCTTACAACACCCATGAAACAATTGTGTTCAGTAGATATTTTTGCCCTACTACTACACATTACACTACCCACTATGCACTTACAATACATATATGGCTTTATAGTTTTGAATTTTTTTATATATGGACGGTAGTTATTCAAAAAGGATCCAACCTGCGATAAGTTAGTTTGAGTTTATGATGTTTGAAGTATCCATACTTCAAATATCATAAACTCAAATTATCCTTATGGTTTCTGTCTGTTTGTAATTTTCTTCTTATTTGTGTTACGTTTGCTAAAACTATTACATCACGTAATAGTAGACCACAAACATTATTTTTCAAGTCAACATTTTTGACAAACTCTGGTTGGATTCTTTTTGCATAACCACGTCCATATTATGGGTGACAAACAAGCACACAATCATCTAATTTTAAGTGAAATCTGTGGCCCATAGACATCTACATTTATCCTTCATTAATAATCACAATACAGAGGCGTTGTCATCCTGATGACTAACATAGAACGCCTCATTTCCAGTAAAAAGAGTCTCTGGTTCTCTACACTCACTATTGGTAGCACAGCAGCATTAAGCTGCAATTTTGCGCTGGTATTTTGTGGGAGTGTGGTCCCTCCCCAGGTGGGCCGACCCATTCGTGCCCATAATATAGCTGCAGCGTGACTCTACCACATATTCTCGAATTGCTGGTAGCACTGGAAAGTATATGTTTGGAGGTTGGTTAAGACTACTCTTTGTCATTCTTTTGGTGAGTCAGCAGCGGGCTAAGTTATTTATTATTTAATTTATTTATAATTTACCAATTACAACAACAAAAAAATACAAAACAGAGTGTGTAATGTAAGTAATGCTTTTTGGCTTTCTATTCTATTTAAATAATAGAGATTAATTAATTCTAAGAAATAATATAATGTTGTAAACAATGAAAAGAACATGGTAAATAGCAATAAAACAAATATACTGAACAGTATGTTAAACTTAAATGATAAAAAAAATCATATAAAAATTTGGTTTGTAATGATGTAATATCATGACTATTGTTTTTTTTGTCTATATATCATTTATATATCTGCTAGGTGGTCCAACAACTGTTTACTGACAAGACATTCTGTTTGCTTTATTGACAAAATGGTTCAGTTATGCCAAGGTTCAAAAGTAGCGCTTTAGTCAAGTTTTAAAGAATTTCTGCACTTGTATGGAATAAAATGACTCATATTCATAACGAGCGACCCGTGGTGGTTCACCCGAGTGGGATCAATTAATTTAGTGTTATTTAGATTAAGGATAATCATGAAATACCATATTTATCAATTTCTCAATTAAAAAAAAACCCCAGTTTTTTCGGATTAAAAATAGCATAAATCATTACTGGTACCTTATTGCTTGATATCTGTTTGTGAAGTTTCATTACAATCGGTTCAGCAATTCCGATGGTTAACCCAGACAGACAGACAGACAGACAGACTAAAAATTGTTATTCCTGTCTTAATGGCATTCAAAAAACCTCCTCAGCTCAGTACAAGGCAGTTATCTGGAGGCACGTTCATTCAATTTGAACCAGTAGTTTAAAAATTATAACTAGTCAAAATTTCTTAATTTTGTCACTCACAGACTGATCGATCATCAGAACTCTAAGGCACTTCTAGCAGACCTAGAAGCTTCAAATTTAGAATACAATTAGTGTTTAGTGTATAAATCAAGGAAAAACTTAAATATTTTGTAATTTCGGTGCAGTTTTGTAGATACACTAACTGCATAAATAACTTTGTAATCCTATATAAATATATAGGATTACAAAGTTACATTTGCAGTGAATGAATCAGTGTACCTGTATATGTATAATATAATTGAATACTAGATGTAGATAGATAGGTATCTAGATATAATTATGTTCAAAGGTAACTTGTAAAATGGTCACCGGAATGAAAAAGCAAGAATGGGACATGTCTTATGAAGTTGTACCAAAATCCCGCAAAGTATTAAGTAGACTAAATTGCCCGAAAATCCGTAGTTGGTATTCAAGAAGTAGATGGTACCGGAAACGAAAAAAGTAGGACTATCTACAAAAAGAAATGAGATATGAAAATGGATATTACAGACAGACATTTCAATTTTATTTATTTGTATAAATATAATTTTGACCGTACCGGAAACGAAAAAAGTAGGACTATCTACAAAAAGAAATGAGATATGAAAATGGATATTACAGACAGACATTTCAATTTTATTTATTTGTTTAGATATAATTTTGACAGCCCCGTGGCAGAGTGACTTAGTAATGAATTACAGCGCTGAGGCCGCGGGCTCGAATCCCGCACGGTAAAAGTATTTGTATGGCCTACAAATCATTATTCTGGGTCTGAATGTTTGTCCTTGTGAAATTAATGTACCTATTATGTAAACGACACAGGTGCAATTTCAAGTTACGTACGTTTTTTTTTTAAATTAAACGTTAAACAATAATAATATGTTGCTTTAGTGCGTAAAAATAATCATAAAATCTGGATCCGACAGGTGGCGCTATGGTCCAGTTATTAATATATTTTATATGAACACTAAAAATTCCGGAGGGAATTCGGAGTGAAAGCCATCACGTCACCTACCAGAAAGGGCAGGTCAACATCGGCTCTACCACGAATAATAAGGTTTACAAAATATAACAACGATTGCAAACAAAATGCGATAGTACAGCAATATAAAGTGCACAATTTTAGTCAAATCTCAAATTAAAAAATTTAAAAACCCCTGAAACAAAAAGAGCTGATGATCTTCAAACGGCTGACCAGATTTTCTTGAAACAGCTAAGAACACTCCATTAAGGCACCTTTCAAACAAAAGAAACTTAATCCAAATCGGTTCATCCCTTCGGGAGCTATGATGCCACAGACACACACAGATACACATATACACATATTATACACAGATACACACTACAAACATAACACTCCTCTGTTTTCGTCGGTGGTTAAAATATAGTGGGTAAGAAGTAGGAACAAAACAAAAGTGTACAAAAATGTAGTGTTCTACGAATTTAGACTATAGATGAAGATGTAAGTATAGGCCGTGGTAGCTCAGATGGTTAGAGCTCCCTGTAAGCTTCACAGTGCTCGAGCAACCCAGGTTTAACACCAATGAAATTGTTAATTGAAATTTTAAGTGCTGATTTACCACGTGCTCGACGGTGAAGGAAAACATTGTGAGGAAACTTCATGTCTGAGAAATAACATAATAAAAATATTTCGAAGACATGTGTAGTTCGCCAACACGCATTGGGGCAGCGCG